AACGGAGGTTAAACCGCCATGTGCAATGCTTACGACAGAATCAATGCTGATGTATAAATTTCGTTTCGTCTAGGTATATTAAGGAATAATAAAATGTGACTTAATTACGTTTTTGTTATAGCTCCTGTGGTTGTTTTAACGAATTATCTCAAACAACGTCAATTATAAGAAGAATATGCAATTTAGAGACCACTTAATTTATCTTGAAAAAGATACTGCTTCCTTGCTAATATAATGTTGAACATTATTTTATATTTATATAAACTCACCAAAACTAATCACAAACCTGCAGATTTAATATAATTATTTTTGTACCTATTATATCTTCACCACGTAATTTTTTGGAGGATTATTCTGATCAACAATTTTTTTCTGTTACTCCTACAAAAAAAATCCAATTGATCCAAAAAATAAATTCAAAGAATTTGAACCAAGTTAATGTATATCTACAATATAATACACCACAAACAAAAATCACACGTTAAAATTTTATATACAAAAAATAACTCATTTTAGAAGAAATTGTTTAAGTATTCATCATGAATATGATTTAAATAATAAAGATTGTGATAATCTCATGCATTAGGCTGCAAAAGAAGAACATAATTAACCTAATAAACGCAATATTAAAAAAATGCGTTTGGCTAAGATTATTCAATATTAACATGTCCTCCAAGTAAAACTTTTAAATTGTGCTGCTGGACTTGATGGATATGTACAGCGTTGATTAGGATTTATTGTATTGTATTGTATTGTTTTAAGTTTATTTCTCGTTATCGGCGATTATGTTTGTGACTTTTAAAATTTTATTATGAAAAAGCTTGTTTTCCAAAACAAAAGTTCTAGTGTTTATTTGTCTCGTTAATACCATTGCTGCCGACGGCTCAAACGGCATTGTTAGGGAGGTTCCAATTTATAATTTTTTCATTTGTTCAAAAATAGGCGCATAGCGAAATCACAAAAACAAACTGGTTCATGTAAATTGGCAAGGATATACACCGAGCGAATATATAATACAATATACAAAAGATTGTTGTTTTGCATGGCGATGTTGTCCGCATTATTTCCCGCCCGACGACGACGACGACGACAAATTTACTATTTTTATGGATCACGTGCCGTATAAGGAATTGCATTTTAAATTATGGCGGCTGCCGCTTGCTCGTCTCCTCTCCCAGAAATGTCTCGGACGGATTTTTCTGCGTTGCGGCACTTCAAATTTTAAATAGTAAAAACGGGGATGTTGGTCTGAGCTTATTTTATTTCCCTATAAATATGCAAATCTGCCCGGGTCTGCGGATATTTCCGATTGAATCAGAAACATTTTTGGAAAAATTTCTTAGGAACGCGAAAATCGTCCACTATAAAATGTTAAAAATATATCTGGATGCTTATGGTGGTTCATTTTCAGTACTTCAGTAAGCCGAGTCTTTCAACAAGAGCTAAAATTTATAATTGGATGTGTTTTTTGTAAAGGTCATAAAACTCTATTTTGTAATGTTTCAGGAAAGGTTCTCGCACAATGTATTCAAGTATTTTATATCAATGAACTGAATTTAAATTGGAATTGGAAATTTGCAAATTTCTTGTCTTTCACTGCTCATTTAAATAAATAGGGGAGTGGGGTGTTGGTCAAAAGATAAACGCCTACAAACTTCAGAAGTACGGAAAGCTAAACAAACAGATGCTTGCTAAGGGTAAAAACACTTTCCTGCGAAATAATATGGTAATGGGTAATGGGTAAGAAATATAAGTGATTCGGCATTTTTATTACTCGAGCGACGGGAGAAGTACACGGCCCAGTAAACCACTTAAAAGGGTTATAAGGGTTATAAGTATATATATTTTTTGAAATTCCGAGATTTCATACCCTTACAATGAAAATCTTCCAATTTACGAATAACCGACCTAAGTCTGATAGCCATACCTACAGCGTCTATGGAGAACGTCAAAATTACAACAGGAATGATGAAAGAATACTGATCACTTTTTGACAAAAAAAAAATAAAATTTTTTTCTTTGCGGAAACTATAAAACCATGAGAAATGAGAAATCTCATGCACACATAGCCTGTCATTGTCACAATTTAATGCATCTGCCAAAAATGACGTTTTTTAATCTTTGAAAGTGTCTTTTTATTACACACTGAAAGAAACAGAATCTTTGTCTTTGCAAGATGATTTAAATAGAAACATTAAGTATTACGAAACCCATTTTTTAAAACTAAAAATTATAACTAACTTCATGAAAAAAACATGAAAAACAATTTAAATCCAAAACAAATTTTGTTTCAACCTCCTTTTAGAAATAACAGCTGTGTGTGTGCCTTATTTAGTTCACAATAATGAATTAATTAAATAATATGCAACATTAACGTCACAGCTTGAATGATGCAAAAATAATAACCTGGGTCTAAACTTATCAGTTTGAAATTTAGCAAGGCTTCTGTTTATTACTGCAATTGTTTTTTGTCTAGTTTTAACATTTTAAAATGCGTTTACTTCCAGTAAAACGATTTTTTTTTTTAAATGGGTCGTCGGAATACAATTTCTAAAAGAAATTTAATTATTACTCATCACAGAAATGGATACAACCAAAGAGGCATAGCCAAAATGGTCAATAAATGTCCGTCAACTGTTCAGCGTTACTGTAACGAAATAGGGTTGAGAATAAGTCGAGGTTAGCTCGAAATATGATCTTCAATGAACGGAGAAAGATGGATTGTAAGAGAGGTAACGAATTATCCAAAAAAAGGTGTACCCCCGAATAAATTGGCATTCGATAGAGATTTCAACTCCTGCAATTCAGTAATATTTGCCGATGAGACCAAAATAAACCTATTTGGATCTGACGGAAAAATATCAGTATGGAGAAAGCCTAAGGAAGAATTAAAATTGAAAAATGTAAAAGCTACGGCAAAGCACAGTGGCGATGGAGTGATGTTATGGGTCATCTGCAAGAGTAGGTAATATGCATTTCATTGAAAGAAATATGAACCAATATGTTTATTTGGATATATTAAGACAGAATCTGGTTGCTAGTGTCCAAAAATTAAATATGGGCAGTTGGTTGCATTGTAACTGCCCAAATGTTATTAGTTGAATCAATACCTAAAAGACTACAAGCTGTTATCAATAATGAAAGAGGCCCGACTAAATATTACCAGTACTATTCGAAATTATGCAGTTGTTTTTCTCTATTGATTTGGTTATATTTTGTTTTGCAGCATTTAAGCTGTGACGTTAATATTGTATGCATAATTTAATAAATTCTTTATTGTTAACTAAGTAAGACATATTTAAGACAAAAAGTAATTCACATTTTTTTAGAAGGATCTTTGCTAATTTAATTTCACTAAGTTGCTTTTTTTTCAAATAAATAAAGAAATATTCAGACTAGTTAGTTTTTTGTTATGGCGACTGCATCATTTAAGCTGTGAGTCACTGTATCGAATGTGCAAATGACAAGCTATTATTATCATGTGAGCAAGGGGTTCCTCTTTCCTAAAGAGTGTTGTTGCTTTATATTACCGGTTATTTTTAAACGCGAATATATGGGACTTAGATCCGGTTTAATATAGATGAAATAAAATTCTAAAGCTGATATAGATATTTTGAACTTTTTTTGTGTGCTTTTCCGATATAAACAGTCTGTGTTAAGTAGTTAATTAAGGAACTAGTAAAGAGAGAATACGTAATTTAATTCAAGAATTTAATAAAAATCATCAACAAATTTTCGTATTAGTAAATACCATGGCAATTTCGTTTTTGGTGAAATCTTTACAAATACGCGATACGATCTTTTGAAAAAGTTCTCCGCCTCGCGGAAAAGTACATCTAAGAAAAAAAAAAACTCGACACGGTAACAAAAGAAACGCGCTTATCTGATTGGGTGTAAGTGTAGCAAAAGACTGTTTCATTTTCTACCGTAAAACTAGTTTCCGTGACGAGACGAAAGATATGCCCCGTCTAAAGTGAATATATATAGGAAAGATACCTGATAAGGGATGCCAATTCAGTCGCCCCTCACTGCTGGTCCCTCGTCAGAGTGGAGAGACGTTAAAACTGTCAACGCGAAGACCTACTATGCTCGGCGCATCCCAAAATCGCCGATCCCCTCGACCAGGATTGACATTATTGGGCTGCTTTTTTATGAAACATTTAATGGCACATCTTGTATTTGGACATTCATCTTGAAACTATGAAATGGCTTTAATAATTAATACAACTATATTTTTCCCATTAATTCATTAACAGTGCAAAAACGAATATTAAAGATAAAAAGGGCTACTCCTCATAGCGCGTTCTAGTAAAAAAGAATTCGGTGTTTAGAAGTACCTTGGAAGAGAAAGGAAATAGAAAGGCATGGCTGGGGCGCCGCTCCTAGCAACCCATCATGTCCAGACGATTTGTTTGTTAAATGTAATATAATAATCATAGATTCACTGTTTTCTGAAACTAAAAAACACTTGTTGGCGTTTCTGTACTTGGAGATTTTTATCGCTGATGGGCATCCTCTTGTGGAACGCGATTAAGAATCAAATTAAAGTTCCGAACCAATCAAGTTCTTGTTCGGTAGCTCCGTCATAAGGTGACGTACTTATTAGAAGGCATTACGGCCTATTTCCAATCCCACAGGCTCATTTCGCAGGGAGGTGTTTACGCGTTCTCCCTTAAATTTCCTGGACCCATTGACAGTAAGATGAGTTTCAATCAGCTTATTTCGGGGCCTTTTAATAAAGACGCGAGAATTTTGTTAACGGGCAAGGTATATTTATCACTGTCTAGGGCGCGTGACAGTCGCTTGCAGTATTCAATAGGCATCGCCGGTATTTACACAAGGCCGCCCGCTGTCGAGTAAATTGACATACTTCTTCGACGTCGTCGCCGAATAAATTAATAAATTTACGACGGCAGAGACATTTAGTTCTTGATAGAGTTTTGATGGAAAAAATGCGTCTTATTTCAAAAGATGGAAATTCAAATTCAGTTATGACTTACCTCGGACTTTCCTTTCGATACACAATTTGCTACGTTCGTTGGTTCTAGGTTTAAGGCATCTCTCTGGAACAAAAAAAAAAACACCACTTAAATCAACGATAATGCCAAAGAGTATTGCCTGAAATAAGAAATGCCTGTCTCAACAGGATCAGTTGTGAATGGGCTGTTTATTCTCGCCTTGAAATACTGTTTTTTCGCTGTCGAAAAAAGTAAAGAAAATTCAAAATTTCCAAAATTTTCGGCCGTAACAAACACCAAGAACGATAAACGTCTTGGATACTATAAAACTTAGACAATATTGTCGTAGATCTATACGTACGTTCTGAATGAGATAAGCAAATGATAAAATAATTCAATAAATTAGAGAAAAGCGTGCCGCTGTTTTAATGGAGTTTCCGAACTCAATTTCTAAACTAATTTCGGAACACCGCCGAAACTGCTTCGTCTCTTGGCGGAAAGGGAAAAAAATTTCGGCGCCCGAAGTTCGCGAAATAAGGCGGCTTAATGAATTTGTATTCGTGTCGGCTAAATCTGAGTTTTTTTTTGTGCTCTCGTACTTCAAATTAAAAGAGACAAAATGAGGACACAAATATACATTTCCAGTTTACCAAGTATCGATTATAGGAGCGCTGATTCGGCGAGGAAATATTTTTCAAAAGGAATTAAATTAGCAGCTGCAGAATTAGGGAAATTTATTATAAAATGTTTTTAATTCATCGTGGTGTTGTTTTGGAATTCGACACCCCCTTGCATGGCCTCTCATAAGTTCTATAAAAAATAGTAAACAAAGAAGTGGTAGGGATGGGTTTTGAATTGCGAGGCTTTACTGCTATAACACAGGCTTGAAAATCCTTAATTACAACAATTTTACATTCTTTTATGTTCTGTGCGTTGAAGAGTGTTCATTCAAGTCCAGACTTTTCTACTTTTTATATAAATGTGAACCGAAAAGATTTACAAAATAGTGTACAATATGCTTCCAAATTTTTATCAATTTGTTGTATTAATAACCGCTCAAAAATTAGTTATAAAACAGTAGATTTGTGTGTTTCAGTCAAAATCAGACATGATTTTTTCAGTTAGTTTTTCTCGAAATTAATATCCGGCTTCATAGGAACGCTCCTCAGTTGTAGTTATAATATTAAACAACCGGTAATATTAGATTACACGATTCTAGCAGTAAAATATGAAAAAAATAAGGAATTGCATTACCGATAAATATCAATCAAGATGAATATTGTAAAACGTTTTGAACTTTTAATGTTTGTTAATCTTTTCCTAAAGCCTGATTTGCATTTATATTTTGAGACCACCTCTTTCTGTTAGTATATTTTCAATGTCCTATATTAGAAGCGGTCTCGCTCTATTTCTTCGTCGATGCGATGGTCATTTTTTTTATGTGATGTGAATGATTTTTCCTGAAAATGTACCCGTATTTTTCGGTTGGCCGGTTAGCTAAAAAACACGTCAACTAGATTGCAAGATTATCGAATGCAAGATGGCGTTTTTGCGCAAGGGGGCGTGAAAAGTTCAAAAAAAAAACACAAGGAAAAACGTCTCTGTCGGTAATTTGTTTTTCGGTTTGATTTTCCTCCGGGAAAAAGCCGCGAGGTGGGAGTAGGGAATTTTTCCCCGTTACCACCGATGTATATATACATCACTCTTTCCTCTTTTTGCATTATTTAATAACTCTCATAAAGTTGGTCGACGAGCGAGCGGGCCGACTCCCTAAAAGTGGAAAACATCGTCTCGTAATGAGTCCGACACGCAAATTGGTATACGAAGTTTTAGAAATTACACGGAAACTTTTGTAGTTAGTGTTAAGCAAAAGCGGGTATTAACCTTACAAGAAACAAGCTCGTTTACACAATGGGCCTCGAGGAGCAGTTTTTTCTTTTGCCCGAGATCCCTCGCCGCGTACATATAGCGGGTCATTTTATTACGCTTTTGTTTTATCGAGTTTATGGAAAGTTCGTTCCTTTTATTATGACACACTTCGGGGAACGGAGCCCTTAGTTATTTTATTTATTCTCGTGGTCTTTTGTTTGCCCGCGGATCCGGCTTGCGTATTGTGTGTAAGTTGAGGAGTTTTTGAACCGCGCATTGTTACAAAATATATTTTTCGTTAGGAGTTCGCGCTTCCAGCAAGTGGAATTCATTGTTTGCATATCAAAAGACGCAGTAATATGATGACTTCGAGAAAACATTAACTCAGATTCTAGTTTTATACATACCGTGAACTGCTAAAATATGGAACTAATTCATTTAATAATCACGTATTGGATTTTAAGAAAAATTCTCGCAAATATTTATAAGTAAAAGAATAAAAACCATGACAAAGAAATTATTTTATTAGGTGTAAAAATGTCACAAATATCCACAGAGGAAAAAATCCAATGGAGTAATATCTGGAGATCTTGAAGCCCATTGTATTGATCCTCTTCCATAGATCCACTGTCTGGAAAATAACGTATATAAATCTGTCTATCTGGCATTTGGGAAAGAAACTGCCAGAGTAGGAATTAATTGAAGAAACTTTAAATACATAATTTTGTTCTTCAAAATCCCTGCCCAAACATTTATTTTTTGTATTTGTATACCTAAAATTTAAACAAAACTTGGCTTCATCGCTAAACAGCTTTTGAAGATGAAAAAATGAATTTAATTTGCAGATTTCACTCACAGCTCCACAAAACTGTAGTCTACGGTCGGCATCATCTTCGCTCAGCAACTGTACTTAGTAATCTTTTCTTCTTTTAATACACGCAAAGCTGTTCGTTGGCTAACATCATTATTTGAAGCTACTTCAGATATTTTGCGTCAAACAAATTACAAACTGATTCTTGAGTTCTCGCTGTGTGTCCATATCCACTAAAAATTAAAATTTCAATTCTCTGGGTTTCATTTACGCCATATTCAATTTCTTTGCTGACAGAAATGAAATTGTGACAATTTAAGAACTTTACTGATACTAGCTACTTGCCTGTTAATTTCAAAATTAAATTTGTCTTTTTAGTTTTTTTCTAATAAAAAGTAAGAGATAGGAAGAGGGTATGGTACATGAATTATACGTGAAATTTGATCCAGAATCCGAAAAAGGATTTAAAAAATGGTTTTCCATTTAAAAACAAGAACTTGGTATCGACTACTACTTTTTTCCAACCCTGTATATTTTCTTTAATATTTTTCTCAATACCTGATTTTTAAATGAATTTGTACTATATTTTAGCCGTTCACTGAAAATTGCACCAATTACATTTTTACTGCACTGGCGTTTCTCGTGGTAAATATTGCAAAACTAAAAGTTAACTAAATAGAAAAAACTTCTTTTATTTTCTGCATCTAACTACGAGCGGAATTATATTCGTCTCTTTGTCTAACCTATCATCACTTCAATATCCTCTTCCTTTTTTTCGCCCAATGTGTCGTCTGTCTTTCAACATGCGACATTGCATTATGTCCGATTCACTTTTTGAGCGGTGAAGATCGATTTTAGTTTTTGGATTTCTTTTTTGCGACTTTCAGACATTTCTGCAATTATTTTTTGAATCGTGTTGTAATCAGACATTGCCATGTGCAAAATTTGATTATTGTACAAAGAAAACCTCTAAAAAGACAAGCTTGCCAGTTATAACTGAAAGTTTATTCGGTCCGGACTATATTTACGACGATCAATGCAAATGTATCCTCTACAACCGTTTGCATTTGACGGGTGGTTAATTTACCAATTGCTATTTTTAACAGATAATGTCTGTTTTCTTCTGTAACTCGGAATTTTTTCTTATTTTTAATGCAGTCACTAACCCAAACAAACCAAACTTCTTTAAAAATTTTATGTATTGACTTTAATTTTTGAAAATAATTGTGTATACAAATTTTACAGCGGTTTTCAAATTCACAAATATGATATGGCTAAGCTTTAGATTTTTGTTTGACCAGTAATATGCTTATAACATCAATGTTTATAATTAGTATTAATACCTAATTAAGTTGCACATTTTAGACCTGGTGGGAATATCTGGGTCTACGGCGTAAATAAAATTACTTTGGCCACTCGAAAATCGAGACTTAAACACCATGAATTCCTCATCACAAAAGAAATTTTCGGACGAAATTAAATCAAATGTTTAGAAAGAAAACATTCTTAAAGTATGTTTTCATGTATGCAAGTGTACTTCAAAAGTTAATTTAACTATGTTAGTAATATTTACTTAATTAAGTAACTGACGGATAAGTACAGATAATCGTAGAACGAAAAATTTAATAGTGTTACAATAACATTCTGAAGTAGAAAAGAACAACAATTCCGTGATTTTAACTTTAGGCAACAGAACATTTCCTTGGTGGTTAATATACAGTGTGTCTCTAATGAGGAGGAAAAAATACTACACCAAATTTCTGAGCCACAGACAGACTTAGTTTTCCGTAAGATTTTTTTGTAATAATATTCGGTTTAGGCGTAGGGGAAAAAATTAGAAAAATTAAAATCTTATTTCATCTTAATTGCAAAATTTGCAGGGCTGCCGTAAAAATGATATAATGATATAAGATATTTAGATATGTACTTCGCATTTATACTGGGTTAATTTTGCTTGGATCATCATATATTGATGTAAAAATTTGAGGTAACATTTCTTTCGCCTCTCTATATTATGGGTATGCCTCCGACAGGGAAAAAGAGGGCGCTCTGATCACAGTAGCTAAGCGCATTTCAAGTCCCAAATTTCCGATAACAAAAAAAAAAACTTAAAGCTCCGTTACGTGCAAGTCGGCTGCCCTCCACGGGGAAGATCGCTTTTAAAATTACCTTTTCTTAAAAATAAACCGAATTGCGAGCGCCGAATTAAGATAAGGCCGTATTCTCGGTTCGCCCACACACGTTCGCCCAAAATACACACTCGACCCGTGTATAAATCGGAAAAAAGCACTGTTTGCCGTTTTAGTTTTCCTTTTTAACTATAAAACAGCCAGTTTGCTTCGGAAATCAGTTTTGAACTCGCACAACGCCCGAATCCGAAATCAGTTTGGCGTTTGAATTCCCCCGGTTCCTCTAATCACCGAGC